GGTGGCTCAGTCGTTAAGCGTCTGCCTTCGGCTCAGGTCATGATCCCAGGGTCCTGGGATCGAGCCCCGCATCGGGCTCCCTGCTCGGCGGGAGGCCTGCTTCTCCCTCTCCCTCTCCCCCCGCTTGTGTTCCCTCTCTCGCTGTATCTCTCTCTGTCAAATAAATAAATAAAATCTTTAAAAAAAGAAAAAAAGTCAACTGGATTTAATACAACTTAAAAAATAAATATGATTAAATTATCAATAAGAATAGTTGATGAATTCAATACTCCATTCTCAATAATGGATGAAACAAGACAGAAGATCGTCAAGGAAATAGAAGACTTGAACTATGCTGTAAACCAATGGACCTACCAGATATATACACAGAACACTCGACCCAATGACCAAAAAATGCACATTCTTTTTTTTTCTTTTAAAGTTTATTTTTTTTTTAGTAATCTCTACACCCAACGTGGAGCTCAAACTCACACCCCTAAGATCAAGAGTTGCATGCTCTTCCGACTGAACCAGCCAGGCACCCCGGAATACACATTCTTCTCAAGTGCACATGGAATATTCTCCAGGATAGATCTTATGTCAGGTCACAAAATAAATCTCAATGAATTTAAACAGACTGAAGTCATATCATGTATGTTCTTGGAACATAATGGAGTGAAATTAGAAAATAACAGAAGGAAAACTAGAAAGTTCACAAATATCTGGAAATTAAACAGTATATTCTTAAACAACCACAGGGAATTTAGAAAATACCTCTAACACATGAAAACAAAAACACAGGGGCGCTTGGGTGGCTCAGTCAGTTAAGTGTCTGCCGTCAGCTCAGGTCATGATCCCAGGGTCCTGGGATTGAACCCACAGGGAGCTCCCTGCTCAGCAGGAGCCTGCTTTTTCTTCTCCCTCTACCCCCCTTCCCCCCTCAGGCTCTCTATCTCTGCTCCTTCCCGTCTCGTGCCCTCTCGCTCCCTCATGCTCTCAAATAAATAAATAAAATCTTAAAAAAAAAAGAAAAAAAAGAACTAACACTAAGCCTTCACAAACTCTTCCAAAAAAAAAAAAAAAAAATGAAGAGGGAACATTTCCCATCTGATTCTATTGTTACTGGGCAGAGAACTGGTTCCGAACTCAGGTTTTGCTTCTGGCAGCTTGAAAATCAGTACTTGAGAGACAAGTGATGGTGGGAAAGGAGAGTTGGCTTTATTCAGGAAGCCGGAAACCTGAGAAGATGGTGGACAAACATCTCAAAGATCATCTTCCCCGTCCAGATGAAGCCAGAGGGTTTTAAATGGGAAGGCAAGGGAAGAGGGCGGGGGGTTATACAGAGGAGACGCAGGTGCCCAGGTGGCTAGTCCTATGTGGACATGACCCTGAACGGACTTGCTGGCCTCACTGGCAGCTGTTTTTGAATGTAATCAGGCCTTATTTTTTGGGAAAGTTTGGTCCTTCACTCCTCATGGCCAGTGGTCTGCAAATCTCAAGGAAAGTTCTGCTACAGATCAAGGGACTTAGGTCAGCAAGCAAGGAGCACATAAGCTTGAAGACTGGTTGGAGTGTTATTACACTAGGAACCCAGTATGAGCCTGAGATCAAAGCCAAGAAAAAGAGCACAAGAAAATAAAATTACATGGCAACACCACTTATAAATACAGGTGCAAAAATTCTCAACAAAATACCAGCAAATCATATCCACAGCATATTTTTTTTTTAAAGATTTTATTTATTTGACAGAGAGAGTGAGAAAGCACAAGCAGGGGGAAGCAGTAGAAGGAGAGGGAGAAGCAGGCTTCCCGCTGAGCAAGGAGCCCGATGCAGGGCTCGATCCCAGGACCCTGGGGTCATGACCTGAGCCGAAGGCAGATGCTTAACGACTGAGCCACCCAGGTGCCCCATATCCACAGCATATTAAAAGGATTACATATCGTGACCAGGAACGCAAGGGTGGTTCAACATAGGAAAATCAATCAATAAAACACACAATGCTGATAGAATAAAGAACAAAAATCCCATGATTATCTTAATAGATGCAGAAAAAGCATTTGACAAATCCAACACCCTTTCAGGATAGAATTTCTCAACAAACAAAGAATAGAAGGGAACTTCCTCAATTTGATAAAGGGCATCTATGAAAAACTCACAGGTAACATCATACTTAGTGGTGAAAGACTGAAAGTTGCCCCCACCCCCAACAGGAACATACAAGGATGTTCAGGGTCACAAGAGGGACAGACCAGACCGAGTACCCTCCTTTGCAGAAATACGTGGGAAATTAAAACTATCTGATAGCATGGTGACAGTGCAATTCTGCCCCACTCCCTGGTTTCTTTCTTTATTTTCCCAGCTTTATTGAGGAATAATTGACAAATAAAAATTGTACGTATTTTAAGTGTACAGCATGATGTTTTGATATACACATACATTGTGACATGATTACCATAATCAAACTAAGTAACATATCCACCATCTCACATAGTAACCATTTTGTCATTGTCATTGAGAACCAAGAGGATGTACTCTGTTAGCAAATGTGAAGTGTACCATATGGTACTGTTAACTATAGTCACCATGTTGTACATTAGATCTCTGTAATTTATTCATCCTGCATATCTAAAACTTTGTACCCTTTGATCAACAGCTCCCCATTCCCCCATCCCCTGGTAACCATCTAGTCTCTGCTTCTAAGAGTTTCTTTTTTTTTTTTTTTTTGGATTCCACATACAAATGAGATTATGCAGTATTGGTCTATGTGTGTCTAGTTTATTTTACTTAGCATAATGACCTCCAGGTTCATCCCCGTTGTTTCAAATGACAAGATTTCCTTTTTTTTTCCTTAAAGATTTTATTTTACTTTAAGTAATCTCTACACCAACGTGGGACACAAATCCCAAGATCAAGAGTTGCATGCTCTACTGACTGAGCCAGTCAGGTGCCCCAAGATTACTTTTTTTTTTTTTAAAGATTTTATTTATTTATTTGACAGAGAGAGACACAGCGAGAGAGGGAACACAAGCAGGGGGAGTGGGAGAGGGAGA